CCCAAGATCCCGAGAGGAGAATGGAGGAGAAGGGATTGCGGCGTGACCATCCCCCCTGGGGGGTGACTTCTCGCTTTCTGTCTCTATGTCTCTCTCTGTCTGTCTGGCGAGCGCACGCGCCCTATATAGCAAAAATCTCTCCCCCCCCCCCAAAAAAATTTTTTTTTCAATAGGATGGGGGAAGCAGATGGTGTGCTGGTTAAGGTGCTAGACTCCCACATGGCTGACCATAGTTTGAGTCCCAGACCAGGCAGTTTGAAAATCGTGAGGGGTGCTTGTGCCTGTGTGACCAGAATCCCAGGAGGAAAACGGAAGAGAAAGGATTGTAGTGTGGCTATGACCCTGGGGAGATTTCTCACTTTCTCTTATTGTCCCTGTCTCTGGTGAGCATACACACCCTAGGGGAAAAAAAGAAAAGAAAAGAAAAGAAAAAAACCCACGCAGGACACATGTGCATGTGTGCCCCAAGTCCCAAGAGGAGAATGGAGGAGAAAAGTTTGCAGCGCGGCCATCCACTCTGGGGGGTGATTTCTTACTTTCTGTTTCTCTCTTGCTCTGGTGAGTACACACGCCCTATAGCAAAAATCTCTTAAAACAAATAAAAAAAAAAATCCCTTCCCCTCATTCTCCTCTCGTGTGCACACATGCACATGTGCCCAGCATGAGTTTTAAGCCACCAGGTCCAGGACTGAACCACGGTCAATGCAAGTCCAGTGACATAATCATTATGCTATCTGCTGGTCCTGCCCACTGTATTTATTTTTAAGCTTCCGGGTCCAGGACTGGAACCACACAATCAGCCATGTGAGATCCAGCTGCCTCAATCACCATACCACTGCTGGCCCCAAGATTCTGAAAACATTTTCCGTATTGTTTTTCCTGACAGATTTTTGCTGTAGTGTGTGTGCTGCAATTCCTTGTCCTCCATTCTCCTCTTGGGATTTTGGGCATGCACACACATGGCCTGGCATGAGTTTCAAGCTGCCAGGCCCAGGACTTGAACTGTGGTCAGCCAGTGGGAGTCCAGTGCGTTAAACACTACACCACCTGGTGGCCCCTTGAAAACATTTCAAAAGCAAACATAAGCCTTATTTTTCTACCTAACCTAGTAATAATGTGGACAGACTGTTAGGAAATGATAATATTTCTAGGTCCATGCAGCAGTGCCCACGCTGTTCAGTCCTAAGTGTTACAGCAGCTTACACCTGACCTTTCTCCCCTCCAACGCAGACATGTTGCCACTACTGTCTGCCCACCTGTCCAACACTTTGATTTCTCTTGCGCCCCTGTCACCCCCATGCGAATGCACGTCTTTGCCCACTGCCCTCCTGGATGGGTATCAGTGACCCGCCAGGCCACTCTCTGCCCGCTAACCTGCTTATCAGACTCCCTGGTTGTGTGGGCCCTCTCCATCAGCACCGGCGTGCTTATTGCTCTCCCTCCTCCTCTGGGTTTTATTTCCAGAAATTGTTCTCTGGTTGTTTCTGTGTGTATTTGTCTTCCCGTCTACACGGTAAATCTCTTAAGGCAGAAGCAGCATTTCCGTTTAATAAAGTATGCCCTCTCTACTCCAGGCCCACTGCTAGAATTCAGAGAGCTGCCTTACGATGCGTGCTGTACGAATGCGGAGATGTCACACGACAGGATGGGTGGTGAAAATAAAGCAGACAGCACCCTAACAGGACAAGTGGTTATCGCTCAACATGATTTCTTACAACAGCATGTGGGTCTGTATTATTTCAAAATGAAAAGAATTTAAGCATTAAAATAAAATCATAAAACTCAAAAGAAGAATAGTTTATATATTTTAAATGGCTGGGGAGAAAAATATTTTACGACACCTGAATATTACATCAAATTCAAAGTTCAGCATCTAAAAATGAAGCTGTATTGGAACACCACGCTCCCAGCCATCTGTTTACTGTCTGTGGGCTCTTTTGTGCCACTAGGGCAGAGTGACATAGCTATGGCAGAGACCACGTGGCCTGCAGAGTCTAAAATATTGGGTTATCAGCAAAGTCATGATGCACTTTTGCATAGAAAAACATAGAAAATATGTCCTGACTTTTCTGACAACCTAATATTTACTACCTGGTTCTCTACTGAAAAAGTCTGTCAGGCCCTGGTCCACCTTTAGGGCCTATATTCTAACTACTGCCTGGGCCTCCATGGCCAAGGGCATTTTTGGACCTCAGGTGAAAGGCCCGTGTGGCTGAGGCACTGTGGGCATGACAGCAGAGCTGCTTCACTCCCGGCTTCTGTGACATCACTCTCTCCTGCCTTCACCTGCCTGCTCCTTTTCATGTCCCTCTGCCAGCACCCTCCCCCTGCCCCGGGAACCAGCACTTTCTAGGGTTGGGTCCCTGGACCTCTTTTCCCTTAATCTTTCCTGAGGCCAGGGCATCTTCGAGTGGAGTCACAGATCACCCCATTCCAATCTCTTGGGTTACACTAACCCCTCCTGGGCCTGAATCTAAACCAACTGAATCAGAATCTCTGTGGATAGGGCCCAGGAGGTGGCATTTCTAAATAAGCTCTCTAGCTTTATTTTTGTCCACAGAAACTTAAATTTGCAAACCACTGCCCTACGCAGTTTCCCTCATTCTGACCATTTTAACTATGACGTGCTTATAAGGAAACACTGGCTCTCCAACTCCTCCCTCATCTGCAGACTCCTACAGAACCGTCTCTAGGCAGCCAGCTAGCCCGCACGGGCAGACACGGGCAGACGTAATGTGCAGAGTGTGCTCTCCGAGACCTTGTGTTCTCTGTTTTAATTCATAAGACTGCTTTGCAACCTGCAGCCTTGGTCAGAATCCTGGGGTCATGCTCAACGCTTTCTTTACTATCATACCCAAACTCTGCTGCTTCTGCCTCCTAAATAGCTCCTGTCACAGTGGCTGCTCTGTTCTGGCTCCTGTCTTTACATTTCCAGGGCTTTCAGGGCAACTTCTACCCACAGGAAGTCCTTGCCCTTTCAATACACACTCTGTGGAGTGCTTTCTAAATGCAAATGCCCCATCTGTCACTTGGATTATGGCCACAATGCACAACTCCGGGATGGGACGCCAGCACCCACTGTCTTCACTGGTGCCAGAAGGGTCTGATCCCATCACTCCTCTCAGTGGCTTTTCCGCACTTGCAGAACAGTCTTTGCTCTTCCGGTTCAGAAGAGGCCTGCCCCTCCGGCTAATTCCACCCCTACCCTGCCACTGCACCTCCCACAGCTGCTTGCATGTCCAGTGCTGTTCCTTCCCTCTCTATGGCTGTTCCACTGCCCCGTTTGCTCTGACTTCCTTCCTGGGCTCAGAGAATCCCTCCTTTTGTTTGAAACTCAGCTAGGGTGTCTCTCCCTCCTGACCACTTTGCTGAGCCCTCCAACTCACTCTGATCTTGTGCCAGTCTGCTGGTTATTACTCCACTTGCCACCAGACTTTGTGCAGCTTGGGCTGACTCTTTTCCCCCTTAGGTCTAGCACAGAAGAGGCTGCTTAGAAGGTGTTCCTGAAATTGAAATGGGCCCAGAGGTGTTCAGGATGACTTCCCAGTTAGAGCCTGAGTAGCGAGAAACACAAAAGCCTCAATAAAAAGGAGAAGAAAGGGGCCAGCAGGTGGTGTGGTGGTTAAAATGGCTGGACTCCCACATGGCTGACTATGGTTCAAGTCCAGGACCTGGCAGCTTGCTTTCTCAATTTTTTTTTTCTCTCTCTGCCTCTCTCTGGTCAACTTCAATTAAACAAAAATAGTGACAACAAATAAAATTAAATAATTCTTTTTTTAAAAAAAGAAATGAAAATAAATAAGTTAACTTAAAAAATTCTTAAAAGAAAAAAAAAGAGGGGGCTGGCAGGTGGCATAGTAATTAAGGGCGCTGGACTCCCACATAGCCGACCACGGTTCAAGTCCCAGACCTGGCGGCCTACTTTATCACTTTCCCTCCCTCTCTCTCTCACTCTGTCCCTCTCTGGTCAAATTAAAAATAAACAAATAAAATAAAATAATTTTTTAAAAAAGGGAGCAGAAAAATTAGGAGAAAGAACAATTTAAGGAGAAATAGGTGAGAGACATAGTTTCTGTAAAAGACAAAAAAAAAGGAAACTGAAAGACTGTGGCAGAACATCCAGGTGGAGCAGTTATCCAACTGGGAACTGGAAATGTAAAATAGCAACTGCAGGAGCCAGCATAAGGCATAGTGGTTAAGGTGCTGGACTCCACTGTAGTCAACTGTAGTTCAGGTCCCAGACCTGGTGGCTTGAAACTCATGCAGGGCACATGTGCGTGCATGTCCAAATCCTGAGAGGGGGATGGAGGAGAAGGGATTTGGTATGGCCATCCCCAGGGTGATTTCTCACTTTCTCTCTCTCTCTGCCCTTGGTGCGGTCACACACCCTATAGCAAAAATAAAAGAAAGAGAGAGAGAGAGATAAAGAATAAAAAAGAAGGAAGAAAGGAAGGAAGGGAGGAAGGAAGGCAGGCAAACTCCAGGGAGAGATCAAGTGGGAAGAGACTTAAAATCTGTGAGTCTGCAACTATTATAGTTGATGGAATAATCAAGCATGAATAGGAACCCCAGAGAAGAAGGCAAGAACAACATTTTGGGAAAGAAGAGGAAGAGAAGAGAAGATGACGAGAGGACGAGGTGGTGCGCCAAAGTGAAGGGCAGGTATGCCGGGAGAGCTGTGGGAAGACAGCGTCATGAAGCAAGGGGATAGATAATCTAGGAATGAGGGGGGGACTCTTAGGATGAAAACGGTATAGTAAGAAAAAAATCAGCAGAGGGTAGCTTTTCACTCCTAGCAGTTAAGGAGCTTGTACTTACTTAAAGCAACCTAAATGTTGGTTCCCCTGAGCTGTGAAAGAGTTCAGATGTTAAACTCTCTCGGGGTTTTCCAAGACCACAACACCCTGATGAGGGAGAACCCGCAGTTCTCTGACCCCAGAGACATTCAGAACAGCCTGAGAAGAAACAAAATTAAGACAAGTAGAATGTGATCTAGGTACCTGAAATAGGACCCAGCTGCGCCATTTTCCCCAGCCATGGGAGAGGTTCCGGGCCAGGCTCAAAGAGAGACATCATGAGGTTTGACTTCTTCTTGCTGTCGGCTTGGGAGTAGAGCATTCCGTGCCACTCAGGACTAGATGGAGAGGAGGCAGAAGGTCAGAAGATTATCAAGCCTGGGACTGTCAAGAATAAGTCCGGCCCTTGTTTTTCTCTTAAGAGATAACAGGCTTCAGCTTTGAAATGAGGCATATTATTTTACCAAAGCCAAACCCTCACTTGAAAATGCATACTGCTGTCCCTAATATTTCCATTCCCCGGGGACATTTATTATTATTAACATAAAATTACATATATATGCAAATCAAAGTCAGTCTTAAAAGAGAGAAGCCACAAGTACAGCAAGCAGCTGTACACCCCCACTGGGGTGAGGAGGCCTGTGGCACCTGTGACCCACAGGTCCTTTCGGCTGACTCCGAGTCACTCCGCTGCAATGTCTAACACACGACACAAGACTATCACCCCTTTCTCTCTCTCTCTCTCTCTCTTTTTATTAAAGGTTTTTACCAGGACCAGCAGTTGGCATAATGGCTGTGTCACTGAACTCCCATGTAGTTGACCGCAGTTTGAGTGCCGGACCTGGTGGCTTAAACTCATGCCGGGCACATGTGCGTGCATGCCCAAGATCCTGAGAGGAGAATGGAGGAGAAGGGACTGTGGTGTGGCCATCCCCCCTGGGGGGTGATTTCTCACTTTCTGTCTCTCTGTCTCTCTCTGTCTTTCTGGCAAGCACCCTATAGCAAAAACCTCTCCAAAAAAATTGGACAGGTTTTTGCTATAGGGCACATGTGCTCACCCAAAAGACAGAGAGAGACAGAGAAACAGAAAGCGAGAAATTGCCCCCCAGGGTGGATGGCCACACCATGATCCTTCTCCATTCTCTTCCTGAGGTTTAGGGCATGCATGTACATGTTCCTGGTGGGACTTTTAAGCCACCAGGTCAGCCTTGTGGGAGTCTAGCACCTTATCCAGGCCACTAAATGATCTCATTACCCCATTTCTTTTTTTTTTTTTGGAGAGGTTTTTGCTATAGGGTGCTTGCCAGAAAGACAGAGAGAGACAGAGAGACAGAAAGTGAGAAATCACCCCCCAGGGGGGATGGCCACACCACAGTCCCTTCTCCTCCATTCTCCTCTCAGGATCTTGGGCATGCACGCACATGTGCCCGGCATGAGTTTAAGCCACCAGGTCAGCCTTGTGGGAGTCTAGCACCTTATCCAGGCCACTAAATGATCTCATTACCCCATTTCTTTTTTTTTTTTGGAGAGGTTTTTGCTATAGGGTGCTTGCCAGAAAGACAGAGAGAGACAGAGAGACAGAAAGTGAGAAATCACCCCCCAGGGGGGATGGCCACACCACAGTCCCTTCTCCTCCATTCTCCTCTCAGGATCTTGGGCATGCACGCACATGTGCCCGGCATGAGTTTAAGCCACCAGGTCAGCCTTGTGGGAGTCTAGCACCTTATCCAGGCCACTAAATGATCTCATTACCCCATTTCTTTTTTTTTTTTGGAGAGGTTTTTGCTATAGGGTGCTTGCCAGAAAGACAGAGAGAGACAGAGAGACAGAAAGTGAGAAATCACCCCCCAGGGGGGATGGCCACACCACAGTCCCTTCTCCTCCATTCTCCTCTCAGGATCTTGGGCATGCACGCACATGTGCCCGGCATGAGTTTAAGCCACCAGGTCAGCCTTGTGGGAGTCTAGCACCTTATCCAGGCCACTAAATGATCTCATTACCCCATTTCTTTTTTTTTTTTGGAGAGGTTTTTGCTATAGGGTGCTTGCCAGAAAGACAGAGAGAGACAGAGAGACAGAAAGTGAGAAATCACCCCCCAGGGGGGATGGCCACACCACAGTCCCTTCTCCTCCATTCTCCTCTCAGGATCTTGGGCATGCACGCACATGTGCCCGGCATGAGTTTAAGCCACCAGGTCAGCCTTGTGGGAGTCTAGCACCTTATCCAGGCCACTAAATGATCTCATTACCCCATTTCTTTTTTTTTTTTGGAGAGGTTTTTGCTATAGGGTGCTTGCCAGAAAGACAGAGAGAGACAGAGAGACAGAAAGTGAGAAATCACCCCCCAGGGGGGATGGCCACACCACAGTCCCTTCTCCTCCATTCTCCTCTCAGGATCTTGGGCATGCACGCACATGTGCCCGGCATGAGTTTAAGCCACCAGGTCAGCCTTGTGGGAGTCTAGCACCTTATCCAGGCCACTAAATGATCTCATTACCCCATTTCTTTTTTTTTTTTGGAGAGGTTTTTGCTATAGGGTGCTTGCCAGAAAGACAGAGAGAGACAGAGAGACAGAAAGTGAGAAATCACCCCCCAGGGGGGATGGCCACACCACAGTCCCTTCTCCTCCATTCTCCTCTCAGGATCTTGGGCATGCACGCACATGTGCCCGGCATGAGTTTAAGCCACCAGGTCAGCCTTGTGGGAGTCTAGCACCTTATCCAGGCCACTAAATGATCTCATTACCCCATTTCTTTTTTTTTTTTGGAGAGGTTTTTGCTATAGGGTGCTTGCCAGAAAGACAGAGAGAGACAGAGAGACAGAAAGTGAGAAATCACCCCCCAGGGGGGATGGCCACACCACAGTCCCTTCTCCTCCATTCTCCTCTCAGGATCTTGGGCATGCACGCACATGTGCCCGGCATGAGTTTAAGCCACCAGGTCCGGCACTCAAACTGCGGTCAACTACGTGGGAGTCCAGTGACATAGCCATTATGCTAACTGCTGGTTCCCATTATCCCATTTCTTACCAGAGACTCTGGCCCCAGCTTCTCAAAGGGCCCCTAGGAGATTCTCATATCCAGAACCAATAGAAGTAGGTTGGGTGCCAGTAAATACAGCAGACTAATACCAAGTAAGAATCGTACTCTTCTGTTCTGACCAGCTCACTGTAACTTAAGCAGAAACAGAGACATGCTTCCTTTGATTAATCCTAACCTCTGATCTAACCAGCTAATTCCGGAGAATGACCAGGCAATCAGCCCCTCCTGTTCTCTATGACAGTAATACAGAAAGCAGATAGTTTCGTAGATTGTGAGGCCGCTCAGAATGTAGCAGCTAGACGGGCTTTCTCACAAGGAAGGAATACAGCAGAGTGGTTACCAGTACGGGCTGCAGTTGGAAGGCACGGGTAAGAATCGTGACTCTTTCACTTACTAGCTGTGTGACCTTAGGAAATTTCCTTGACCTCTCCAAGCCCTAGTCCCCTCACCTAGAAAATGCGATTAGTGTTGATACTTTCCACAACGTGCTTTCGAAAGGGACTGAAAGAGTTAATATACAAGAAGTACCTAGAGGAGTGCCTGGCACATGGTAAGCGGTTCGATGTTATCGGCATCTTTCTTCATTGAGATCTACCTCCTCATTTTATATGTGAGGAGTCTGAGTCCTGCCCAAGACCCAACAGGGAGTTAACAGCACTGCTTAACCAGAACCCAGCTGTCCCAGATAGAATTTCTTAAAAAGAGAAAAACTGAAAAGAGATACAAATTTGTAAAAAGCAATATAATTAAAAGGCTTACCTTATACTTATTCTTGGGGATGACTTAAATAGTAGTGTGTATGGCAATGGTATGTGGGGTATGTGGGAAGGGTGTGGCAGGGAAAGGATAAGGTGATAAGGATCTTTCTATTTCTTTCAGAAAGTCTCCAAAACACTTCCCACTGTGAACTGATTTTCCCTTTCACTCAACCAAGGGACAACAAGGTTCCTACCCTAGTTGAACAATCGCCACCATTCCTTCCACTTTCAGGCTGCCATGAAGCAGGACGCAGAAGTTGGGTATTTTGCCTGCAATCTGATTGGCTGAATTTTCATCTTCGTTGTCATCAGTGATACCAGTACCCACCTCGTCGCCTTCTGTGAAAAGGAAAGAGAACAGGTCAGACTGAGATTAGCTACAAAGACCCAAACGCCAGTTACACTCCTGGCTGTTTCTAGCCTTGAAGGGAATGTTGTGTAGCTGTAAGAAATATTATCACAAGTAGGAAAAAGTCATCCCAGTTTTCCAATGTCCAAGTAAAAATCAGTTTTTGTATATTACATGAATTCCAAGAATGTAAAATAACCAGAATAGGCAAATCTATAGAGACAGGAAAATATTAGTGGTTATCTGGGACCCTTTACCTGATAGGTAAAGGGTTACTTTGTAGAGTGATGAAAAAGTTGCCAAATTAGCTGTGGTGACCTTGGACAACTCTGTAAAAACACTAAAAACCACTCGATTATACATTTAAAATGGAGTAAGTATACAGTAAGTGGATTCCGTCTCAGTAAAGTTGCTACACAAAAATAACACTGTGCGTTTTCACTAGGCTGCTGTTACAGCAGAAACTCTCTGGAGGTTTTAGGCATGCATCTAAATGGAACCACACACAGGGATGTTAAGAGTGTTCTTAGCTGATGGACTTTAGGCAGCACATGAACGACAGTCCTGGAGGTAAGTAATGATTACTCTGTAAGTACCTTGACTGGGTTCCTTAAGCCAAGTTCTCTCAAGACACTCTATTGACAGATCAATCTTCCCACAATTAAAGTCCTTATCAAAATATCTGTCTGCTCAGTATTTTTTTAAAAATTAATTTATTTTACATTCATTCACTGAGCATCATCATAGCATACAAAATGTGATTTCCCATCCAGAATACACTTGCATAGTGGCTTAATCATACATGTTATCACTGACAAATATTTTTCCATTTCTTGTTTCAGATATATATATATTTTTCTCCCTATTTCTCACCCCTGCCATTTCCCACCCTCCTCCCACACTATCTGGTGTCTGCAGTCGATTTCCATTCCTTTCCCTCCCCCCATATTTTAATTGATTCACAAAATATTTTAATATTTTCAATAGCAAGTTTAGCTGATATATACATATCTGTAAACACATGTCTGACTTTAGGCATGAAGCTCTGAGTAGAATGAATACACTATAAAGTAGCACCTAGCTGATGCTATATAGTTTACTGTGGTCATTTAGCAAGTATTTTTAAACATTTTTTTAATTTCAAGAAAAGCAGTTTTAGCTTTAATAAATCAAAATTAAAAAGATGCTAAGAGAGCTTTGTTTAAAACTTAAAGCCAGGAAACAGGTTAGGATTCTATTCAAGTAGTAGGTGTATGAGCTTATTGGTAACTTAAGACAAGACAAAAATCCTTAAATTTGGAAAATAAAGCATAGAAGAAAATCAGTAATGTTTCAGTCAAAAGTCATAAGATTCTATTTCACCAGTTTAGTCTCATGTACTTAATCTGTCTTCTGTGTGGTCCGATCTTCTCGTTTATATTCTGGAAGATAACATTCAACTCCAGACTTGTTCCTACCATTAAGTTGGCCATTTTCTTGGTTGTTTTTGAACTCTTATTTCTCTGTGTCTGTATTTAATCTTCCTGGTATAGCACTCCCTTCAAAGCTTCTTGGAGAGCTGGTCTGGTATTGGTAAATTCTTCCAGGTTTTGTTTATCTGAGAATGTCCTTGTCTTTTCTTCCCATATAAAGGATAACCTTGTCGGGTACAGTATTCTTGGTTGAAATGTTTTTTT